TTTTCAAAAATGTAAAAAATTAAAATCTATTTATTTTTACTGTTTTATTTCAACAGTTTAAGGCATTTTAATCGATTCATTATGATTTTGCCAAACCGTGACGGCCATATTGTTACAAACATCGATTAGTACTCGGAATACACATTAGAGGTGTTGTTAGTTACAAGGTTTATATAAGAAATCCTATACCATGATCGGGCTTCGCAAAGGAATAAAGAACATTGTACACAATTTGTAAGCAAATTTAAGATTCATTTCGAGGTTATTTTAAAATTTTCAAATCGTGTAAAATGAGCGGCATGAAATAAGCTGGAAATGAATCTTGTGAAGAAGGTGGATTCGACCTGGTCCAATGTATTCTGAAAGTTGGGAACTTTAGTACTGCAGCCCTCGCGCAGTCAGAAATGTTGTACGGAAGGATGTACGCTATGTACGATAATTGTACGCAAACTTTTTACAAATATTCGGACATGACAATCGACATTTTCTTCTGTTTATGACGAAACCAAAAATGTTGAACATGATGAAAATGGTTTATTTATTCAATTGTGTGATGATAAGAAATTCCAAGCGTGCCCATGTGTGCCACCAGTCGGCTGATGTCATATTTTATGTGTAGTCAAAATTGGGAGACACATTACATATGTCCATAAAGTCTTGACAGTAAATTCAGATGTTCGCCATTTGAACAACAAACATACAATATTAAATTCTTTTTTATTGGTATAAACCTTCATTAATGGGCTACGAATAGCACATTCACCTTACACTGAACGGGCCATTGTCTTCGATTTTTCTCAGTATGCGTCGAACCTTCAAAATCATGCTTTGGCGGACCAATATGTCGATTTCTTTCAACTTTCTCTCGAACCTTCCCGCTAATTGTTGCTTGTTTCAAGTATTTTGGACCTTCGCCTATAACTTACATCCAAAAACAGACGAGAAATAATTAATTTGGTGTCTTTTTGTGAAGTTAAACAGATGGTCCTTTTTTCACGGAAATGTCATATTTTAAGAAGTGCGCCATTATTGTGGTTTTTTCTGCTTGCAAACCAAAATTTTGTGTTAAATCAGATAGTTCTCAATGAATTCTATCGATTTCAACAACAATTGGTTGATAATGGAGCATGTAATGGAGGTTTTACCTTACGTTTCAGCGCCAAATTCTCGAATATTGGCTCTAAAACACCTTCCAAAGAAGATCCTACCATACAAACACGCCTTCATCAAAGTTCGGTTTGTCGACGTCTCTAGCCTTATATAGTAGTGCCCTAACATAATCAATGCAAAAAAAACCACTTGCACTTGATTCGTGGTTCGACATAGCGATGAATGTTTCACTGTCCAAAATGATGAATTTTTCAGTGCAAAATGCTATGAGGTGAAGTAAATACCCAATTTTGACACCCTATTGAATTTTTTCATTACTTATTTTGCTGATTCCAAATGACCGGGTCTAAATCTATTGTTTTGGTTCAAATTTTGATGTGCTGTAACCATAAAAATCACCAAAAACGAATTTTTGCTTGACCAACCCGGTTTTCGGTACTTGATGACAATTTTGGAGGGTTGGAGCATTTAAATAGGGAATACGACCGTACTTTTTGCTTTCTCTAGAATCTTTGTCTTCATACTAAGTCCATGAAACACAATATATGGTTCGTAGGCAGATGGGTTCATCTTTAGACACATGCGAAATTTGTTTTGAACTTAGCCGCCACAACCATTTGAGACACTTTTTCGTAAATCCAATTTGTACGTCTCCGCGAATGGATGTATTTCATCGAATTGAGTTTGATAGTAGTCCCGAGGTACTGATAAACGTGCCGTGTGCATTGGTTGATATTTTTGATTTTGTTTATGTGGCGCAATAAACGCCTGAATTTACTGCCAAAACTTTATGGACATATGTTATTATAACACATTTTTTTATGTATTTTTGTTCATATATTGACGCTTTATTTTACGTTTTTTTATTCTATCATACAAATTAAAATTATTATGGCTACCGAATAATAAATGTAAGATTCAAGTCATGAATATGTTATTTCCGTTGACAACTTAACAATAAAATATATAAATTTTTCAATGCACAAAAACTCGATTTTTTGTTCTGTATTTATAAACAATTCCAAGAATTTATACAGCGTTTTAAATTTAAAGTGCCCTTTTTTCAGAAATAGATCTTTCTTGTATATTAGGTCATCATGACATGACTTTAAAATATTAGCACATTAAATGATTAAACATTACATATATTTATCAAATATTTTTCAATTACAATTGCTCATTATTATTATTTGAATATTATTAAAAGTACTGCTCCTGTATCTCTCTTTCGAAAAGAATTACATTCTAGAATTATTTTATCATAATAGCTTATTCGTACAGTAGGTAATTCCATTGACGAAAAAATTATGTAAACAATTTCTCCGTATATAAATTATATTTGTATTTTAGTATGATGTTTAAATCGTGCGGAATATCCTTTACAAATGGCAAACCCTTGGATAAAAACAAAAATATGAATTTTGATCAAACCTTTTCATGGATGTATCTCAAATCTTTCGATTGTTTCAATCTGTTCAAACGGCTATTTGATCAATTTCCAAATTCCGAATTATCTGAATTTCAATGTTTACCAACATAAAAATAATAATACTGAAGAAAACAATGAACAACTTTTCAAATTTCTGGACAATTTCTACAATATAAGAAATTATACATAAAGTGAATTCAGTGAACTTCAATTTTTCACTTTAGATGCCAAAATGCTATTTTCAATGGAAAATTTTTGAGTAATACCACCAAAATCATACACTACTCTCAGTAAAGAGAATACAAATATTGAAAGATTTTGAACTTCAAGTTGAATATGTTATATTTTGAATAAATAATAGTATTTTATTTTATGTAATTGTACATAGATATTCAAATATCAATATAACGTTGAAGGAACAGTTGAACAGATTTTTACAGAAAACCAAAAAATATTTGAAGAAAATTTTGCATTTGATTTAAATTTCAATAACGAGTAAATTCAGCCAAATGCATATGGAAATATTCTACTGGTAGTATTTAATTGAAAATATATAATAGAAGTTGATAACATATTAGTCGCAACTAGATAGGTAGCTAATGTTTAGCCTTTCAGATAGAATTGAGAGTTTTAAATTATAACGAAAAAACTTGTTTACTTTATTTTTCATGCTAAAAAGGTTTACAGATTTTCATAATCAGAAATTTCTTATTATGCATGGTCTTCCTCCTTCCAAACTGACCTTGTTATCTGGATAACCCCAGAACCAAACACTTTTGTCAATAGTGCCATTAACTCAATAATAAATAATAACATAATATTAAAAAAAATATATCTTTTTTTCATTTATAAAAGCTAAAATAAATTATGCATGTTAATGTAAATAATTAAAATTTCTTATTGCGATGTTCTTCCCTTGGCGCAAATACGCCATAAAAAGAATTTCAAATATTTACATTATCATTATTATTATTTGCAGTGTCATTTGTAATGACTATTATAGTGCTCAAAACTAAATAAAATGAGTTATACGGGCACTTTGTATATATTCATGGTTGGATAAACAAAATCTTGGCGCTGTGAAGTTAAGACATTAATTTAAAACTGAAATTTTGTGCATTTTTTAATTCAACGGCGGTCAACTATAAATTTGCACTGGTTCTTCGAAGCAATAAATACTTGGTACAGTCAACATTAAAAAAAATCAGGCATAAAGGAAAAACCAAAAATACGGTTTGTTCTATTGAGTATTATCTTATTTTTAAGTGGTTATGATAAATTTTTAAACGAAGATTAAATCGTCATAATAATTTTAGATTATCGCCCTTCCGCTCGTATTAGACGGTGACGATTTTGGTCGTTTTCAGTCACCAAATCGACTACAAGCCTTCTTCCATTTGCACTGAGTACACCACAACTCCTTTTTCTCCATTCCATATTGCTTACGACATTTCTTATTTTCACCTCGTGGTCGACGATTTGGCGATAACTGTGAGCGATGAATATTCGCAGCTATCGAAGCTGACGTTGATGGTGCACTGTGCGATAGATTCAAAATATCCGAATGTTGTGGCTAAATAGATTTTAAAATCAAAAAAATAAATAGAATTTCAGAAACATTATACTTAAAAAATTGGGATCAAAATAATTTAATACTTATACTTTTTTAATACTTTGTAATATACAAATCAGATTTGTATGATTATTTTCACTAAGGTATTTGAAAAATTTACCTGTTGCAAATGGTTTGAAGTGTGCAACGATTGAGAGTGATGAATCGATGAATTACTATTATTGATAATAGTAATACTTCCCGATCCCCGAATGCTTGATCCATTTGTAGTGCCATAGTTATTTTGTAAACCCAAGGCAATATTCACATTGTGTTGAGCTGCTGCGATTGCACTTGTATAAGTTGGCGAAGGATATGGAGCATACGAGGTGGATGGACGAGGTGATAGGCGTACATGCTTTTGTGGTGACAGCTTCAATAAAATACATTATTAGAATAATCATATAAATCAATTTACAGTGTTAATTCAATATAAACTTTATTCTTACCGAATTCTGTTGAGCCCATGTATAGTTGTGATGAGCTAAAGGTGAATTTGGAATATTAATGGCTCCAGCTGCATTGGGCAATGGAGGTTTTACCGATTGTGACATTGTTAGTAAACCTTGTCTATAAAATTTAAAAATAAAATACTTTCAGAAAAAAATGTATAAAAAAATTAAATATTTTACCTCATATTTCCAACCAAACGTCTTTGATATTCTGGATCTTCGTGTGGTGGTCTGGCCATATCTCGATGACTTAAAGTTGGTGGAGATGGTGGATTTGGAGATTTTACATTGAAGTCCTCAGCTTCAATTTCAGCTTCAATTTCTGTATAGTAAAAAGCTTCGTCTGGAACTGCATCATCGCTTAAGTTATCATCAAAATCATCGTCGTCATCGTTAACGTTAATATTTCGTGATTTCTGCACCCTATTCAAAAAAAATGTATATAGGTAATCCGTCTCCATTCACATTTAAAACCTATCAACGGTTTTACGTAAAAGCATCAACAATACTAAGTTATGGTTTCGAAATGTCATGAGCAAGAAAAAAAGAGAGTCGTAGAACAGCGAGACAGTTAAAGAGAGTGGCATTTTATATTAAGTTGAGTTTTCCATCATTTTTTGATGGTGATTTGTGTCTTTTAGCGTTTGTGAAAAATTGCATTTTTTATAGCTTTTAATTAATATATATAATTTAAAACTAGTTGATTTCTTGACATATTAAATTATATAAAATAAAATATGGTTCCTCAAAATTTAAACATGGTGGATGATATTTTGAGGTCCACACGTATATTTGTGGTACAGAAAAATGGGGACCTTTCCGACAAATTTGGCCGAAACATAAATTTAATCTGTGAATACGACTTACAAGGGATGGTTGTGAAAATGTTTACTGGTAAATAAGAAGTTTAAAAATCAGTTTTTATAAAAAACAAATTGATCAGTATAGTATTGATTCAAAGTATTTAAATTGTATTGAAAAAATTCGAACTTCTGAAATAATATTAATCAGATTCAAACGATTTAATTGTCATTTGAAGTTTCAACTATTTTATATGATAAGTTTTTATGAAAACTAATCGTAAAACTGTTGTTATATATTTATTAAATTTTTTTAGATGAAGATGTGAATTCTTGTGCTCAATACTTAATCACCAATGAAACTAATTCAGCTAATTTTGGCGACCTAAGTCACATAATAAATTTCGAATTCGAAACAATATGCGTAAAGTTTGAATCTCATACAGGTAATTTAATATTTTTTTGTGTTGAGCAATTTGGAATATTTATTTTCATTTTTCCTAATCATAGACTCACAAAAATTTCGTCAATGTTTAAGTAGAGTGAAAAAACCTCAATCTGTTTTTTCAATGCGAACAGAAGAATCTTCTGCGTCACAGTATTTTCAATTTTATGGATATCTAAGCCAACAACAAAATATGATGCAAGATTATGTGCGCACTAGCACATACCAAAAAGCAATTTTGGGAAATTCAATTGATTTCAATGGAAAAATTATTCTTGATGTTGGTGCCGGATCGGGTATTTTATCATTTTTTGCTGTTCAGGCTGGTGCTTCGAAAGTATATGCCATTGAGGCCAGTAATATGGCAAATTTTGCACAACAATTGGTTAGAGCCAATCAGATGGACGATCGGATTGTAGTTATTCCTGGCAAAATTGAAGAAGTGGAACTACCTCAGATGGTGGATGTAATTATATCTGAGCCTATGGGTTATATGTTGTATAATGAACGAATGCTAGAAACATATCTACATGCTCGCAAGTGGCTGAAACCAGATGGTAAAATGTTTCCAAGCGAAGGGGACCTACACATTGCTCCATTTACTGACGAAGCACTATACATGGAACAATATAACAAAGCCAATTTCTGGTGAGAAGTACAATAATAATAATCGAATAATGTGCAAATATTTATGGTAGGTAATATTTATGTTATTCAGGTATCAGAAATCTTTTCATGGAGTAAATTTAACTACATTGCATGAAGAAGCGATGCAAGAATATTTTCGTCAACCCGTTGTGGATACATTTGATATTCGAATTTGCATTAGTAAATCTATTAAACATTCTGTTAATTTTTCAATGGCAAAGGAAACTGACCTTCATCTAATTGGTAAATTGGTTTCGGTTTTATTAAAACATTTTTGTTTTATTAAAAGTCAACTAATGAATTTTTTCCTAACAGATATTCCTTTGCAATTTCAAGCGTTGCAAACAGGGATTTGTCATGGATTAGCTTTCTGGTTTGATGTTGCATTTAATGGATCCACGCAACAGATTTGGTTATCAACATCACCTATATCCCCCTTAACACATTGGTATCAAGTTCGCTGCTTACTTCAAAACCCTATTTACGTAAGACAAGGTCAAACCATAACAGGTCAAGCCTTACTGGTAGCAAATAAACGTCAAAGCTACGACGTAACCATAACTCTGCGTGTTGAAGGTACAAACACAGGCATACTTAAAAATAACTATTCCATTACTCTACAATCATTCATCCATTCATTCGATTCTTTTTCCGGTTTTCCATTCTGTTCCATTGCTTATTGATTAGTTTCCATTTTTGTATCAACCTTAGGTACAAACACAGCTTCATCAAATACTTTGGACTTGAAGAATCCCTATTTTCGTTATACGGGGGCTCCTACACAGCCACCACATGGGACAACAACACAATCTCCATCGGAAGCATATTGGTCACATTTGGACACGCAACAAGCAAATCGAAACGGTACTCAAATTTTTAACTATTAATCAAATGTACATGTGTTTGTCATAAATCATATTGTGAATGAAACCTAGAAGTTATTATCAATAAGAAATATGAATCAAGGAAAACAATTATTTGTAAAAGAGGATCTTTAGCAGGATTTTTTGATAAGAATTGTTTCAAAATATTTTTCTCAAAAGTTATCTTTTTCCTTCGATAAATAAAATATGATGATGATTAAAGAAGAATTCTCGCGCATAAAAGCTTGGGATTCCAAATGTTAATTTCATCTTCTATCTAGCTTTTTTTTAATAAAACTGTTCCATTCTATTCAGGAAATTTAAAAACATACAGAGACTTGCAAATTATGCACATGCAATCAATACTTTTGAAGTTAATAATAAAAACATTTTCCATTTAAATCTCAAAATGTGCTGATGTATGAAAACGGTGATTACCTTCAAGTTAAAAAAATTCCACAAAAAATATTATAATGATAGTAGTATTAAATACGCACTTGGTCAAATATTGAAATGTGCTTTTATATATTTTTTCTTCAAAAGTTTTGATTTAAGTTGGTGTTTTGGCATATTGTATTATTAAAAAGTGAATATAAGAAACATCTTTTGATATGTGTCTGAAAAATTAATTGAGATTTCAATTTCAGAAATGCAAAAATTTTAGCTCTTATAAAATAATATCTGGAAGTTAAAATTAATGTGTAATCTCTCTTTACTTTAAAAATAAAATATTTATAATCATGACAAGAATTAATGACCTTTACTTTTTTTGAAATAATGTTCGTGAAACTGAGTGCTTGGTAGAATCAAATATTTTGGATATCAAAATCATCGCAATTTATGCATATTCTGATATATTTTTCAGCATTCTTTATCCCAAGTAAGACAATTTTGTTCAGACAATTCGAAGCGATATTGCAAATATCATTTGAAGTTTGAAGTTTGAAATGCTAAATAAATATAATCCAGACTTACCCAAGATGTACTTCACGAACATGATTTTCGATTTCGTCAACAGTTTTATGTATTATGCTACATTTCTTCCATGTGCATTTAAAGAGAGTGGTATTAATCTGAAAAAGAAAAATGTATACCATTCTAATTTAAAAAAATTAAAAACCATTCAAACGTTCATAATCTTGAAAATACATTCAGAAAATTGTTTTTGGTACAAAAACTGTTTTATATTGATCCAATAAGTAAGTAATAAGTTGAATTCCTTGACACAACTCAATTTTTCAGGGCACCGGTATATAAACATAAATTGAGTATGTTGCATTATATACAGGTTAGTGGAACACATAAAGAATAGTGCAGGGTGATTGATAAACTAGATATTCGTGCTTGTTTCGAAATGTTTGAATCAACTGTTTCAAAGGGAATAACTAATATAAATTAAAAAAAAAAAAAATACAAAAGTTGTTGTCCTGGAAAATTCATTTAATCTAGGTCATATATAAATAACAAAACTAGATCGATGGAACAAGCGCAATAGAGGTAACCCCATTTTCATTATAGATACATACTTCTTGAAATATATAGGTCATTGCTATGGCAACGTTATATATTGTACATAAAGAATATGATGAAGAATATATATTTTTTACCCAAATATCATCAGTACATACGCTATGCCTAAAAAATATAGCGAAATTCCCAAATTATAATTCGGAATAGAAAATAAAGATTTGGTGTTGTTTTTCTATTACTATTTTTTTTAATGCTTCGGAAAAATGTCATCGAATATCACTTTCCAAATAAATAAATAGAAATATGTGGAAAAAGGAAAAACCAAAAACAAATGGTTGTATGCATCCATCATTTGTTGACTCGAAAATATTTTCTTTATATGAATGTCCGAGAATGAATGTGAGTCTTCTTCTGAGAGTTTATTGAAATGTAACACCGCCATACAAAAAATGCTGACTGTCAATCATATATGTGTATGTGAACCTTTACCCAGAATTAAATGAGAATGTTCAGTTTCCTGACATTCAGGATTTTTATCCAGGTGTAAATTGTAGAATACTTTTGTACCAACCTTTCGTTTTCGCGGCGTTTCATCGTTATAATCCATTACAATGCCCTCATCAGACGTGGACAATGAAGCTGTTCTCAGGCGATTTGTTTGTATTTTACTGTGATTATTTAAGCTGTTCTGTATAGGTCTTGCGTTATTCTTTACGTTTTGATAAGTTTCCATTGCATTGGCATTGACATAATTTTGAGGTAATGTATTAATATTTTCCTCATTTAAATCATCGCTACATGAAGTCCAAGAACCACTGCTGTTGCTTGCAGGACTCGAACCAAGCATCCAAGGACGTGGTGAGTGCGGTGATCCTGATAAGCTCATTAGTACTAATGCAGCATTACATTCATTCATCTGCTCATCGTCACGTAGTCCATTCAAGAACAGATCGCCATCATGAGAAAATGAAGGTCGCCTTTTACGGGATCTAAACCAAGATGGTCGTTTTTATCAAATAAATATAAATATAAAATATGAATAATGTGGAACTCCGAACTTATATTTTAATTTTTAAATAGACATGACTGTTACATATGAAATAGTTATTTAAATTAGAGTCTGTATTTCTAACAAGTATTTAAAAATACTATGAATAAAAACTAGACTATTTCCAGATATAAAGCTAAGTATCGTAGCAACTTCACTATGGTTAATTGTAAATGACCAAACTTGTGCCATTTTTGGTTTAAATGCCAACCACATCAATGGTGGTGCTGTCAATGTTGCTTGTCATCTATTGTTGCTTTTCATATATATATACGAAGTAGGTAATTTTTAATTTACTTGATGACATGACGGAGGAGGGTATTATGGTTTCTACCCCCTTGTTGTAAATTTAGAAAATTTTCCCCGGGTTTTTACTTTTCCGCACACATAGTGTAAGGTGAAAAGTATTGTAATCGGTCAAAACTTCAGAAACATGTTTTCTGGACGTTTCTGAGGTCAGAGAACCCGAACTTGGCATTTTTAAACATGGTTTTTGTTAATCTGTACGTCATACATACGTTGTACGTCGTACGCAAAATTTGTTAGCAAGATTGCGCTCATCGTAGAAACTTAATTCAAAATCTGACTGTACAGGATGATAGGGGGTCGCGAGGAATAGAAATCATTGGATTTTGAGCGACTTTGGTTGATGAAAAAAATTTCATGCCTGGAGTGATACCTATGAAAAAGAGTCCAATTTTCGTCCAAAAGTCATACTTAATGTAGACTTAAACAATCAAAAATATGTATTGGGGGGTTTTATGGCACGAGAAACCCGAATCCGATGTTAATTTTGAGATACAATCAAGTTTTAACAGAGTCCGTTTGAAAAAATCACAAAAAATTGAATTTTTGTATGGGAGCCATGTCTATATGCTACATTAATGACGTGAAAAACTACACAAAAAAAATAACATTTTGAAAGTTTGAGAGATTTCAATTAAAATTAGGGATACCTCCCATACAAAATTTTTGGCTCAAAAACGAATATTTTGTATGGGAGGTACTCTTAATTTTGGTTGAAATTTCTCCAAACCCTCCGAATGTTATTTCATTAAGGTAGCATAGAGACATGGCTCCCATACAAAAATCCAAATTTTTTGTGACTTTAGTTATGAAAAGTGTTCCAAAAATAATTGTTATGGCAAAATTAACGTCAGACATATTTTTTATAGTGTTTTGTTAGAAAATAGAATAATTTCAAATGTCTTACAAATGAGTTCATCATGATAGTGTGAAAAATCTTTTGCGAGTACTTCTGCTATTAAATTAAAGAATATTTCGATGCCGAATATATATAGCTTAGTAGAATACGCATCTACCACCGTGCGGAAAAGTTCGTCTTACTCCTGTAAGACTCTTTATTGGTTATAATTATTTCATAAGCATTCAACAAATAAAAAACATCTATCGTGGTGTCTTCACCACTGGTTCTTACCAGTGACAAAAACAAAATTTAAAACATAACATTTCTGATATGAATTTTGTGACGAAAACAGTTGGTAGATAATAATTTGTCTGTGTAGAGTGAATAAAAACTTAATATACATTTTTATATTCAAAACGTAGCAGAAATTCCTCTCTTTTACTTTTCCGCACACACTAAGTGTGTTAGAGGAAAGTATTGCAATGGGTCAAAATTTACGACATCTCAAAAACATGTTTTCTGAACGTTTCTGAGGTCAGAGAACCAGAATCAGGCCGTTTTGAGCATGGTTGTTGTGGGAAAAAAGTCCAATTTTTGTCGAAAAGTCATACTTTATGTAGACTTAAACACTCAAAAATATGTACTGGGGGGTTTTTTGGCAAGAAAACCGAATACAGCGTTAGATTTCAGATAAAATAAAGTTTCAGTGCTTATAAAACGCACGCTCAACGCGATACGTAACTCAATGTGCTGAGTTTTCGAATGCACGGTGCGCTTGTCCACTCACCGAACAAGTGCGAGAGCAACTCACTACTACTGATAAAAGGGAATTTTTTTTCGTCTTTTCGACATCTTTTTGCTGTTACTAGGCATGTTTATATGACACTTTCAGAGACTCGGTACAATACACAAAAATATTGATTTTTTTTTCAAATATTTTTGTATTATACCGAGTTTTCGAGAGTTTCATATAAACATGCCTTGTGCTAGCAAAAATACAGTCAAAAATACGAAAAAAAAAATTCACTTTTTTGTGCACTATACCGAGTCTCCGAGAGTTTCATATAAACATGCCCACTGGGCATTGCCCAGTAACAGCAAAAATAGAGTCGAAAAGACGAAAAAAAATTTCGACTTGAGCGAGTAGCTACTCACTCAGTTTTCTAGTTGAGTGTTGTTTGCAACTCACATTAGCGACTCGGTGACCTGTAGCGCTCACTATACATTGAGTTATATGCTGCTCCCCGAGAGTGCTCGGTGCGATGCGGTAGCACTGTAAAGTTTTAACAGAGTTTCTCTGAAAAAATCGCGAAAAATTAAATTTTTGTATGGGAGCCATGCTTTTATGCTACCGTGATGACGTGAAACTTTTCACAGGCTATTTTTTACACAAAAAAATAACTATCTGAAAGTTTTAAGAGAATTCAATCAAAATTAGGGGTACTTTCCATTCAAAATTTTCAATTTTTGGCTCAACGAATATTTTGTATGGAGGTACTCATAATTTTGATTGAAATCTCTTCAAACTTTCAGAAAAAAATAATCTGTGCAGAGTTTCACGATACCATACAGGCATGATTCTCATAGAAAAATCCATTTTTTTTTTACTTTTGTATGAAAAGTGTTTCAAAAATAATTTTAATGGCAATATTAACGTCAGACATATTTTACTTTTCCGCACACACCTAGTGTGTAAGGTAAAGTATTGGAATCGGTTGAAGAATTAACACCCTTAAAAACATGTTTTCTGGGTGTTTTAGGACCCAGGGAACACGAATCTAGCGTTTTTTGATGTCCGAATGTATGTGCGTGGTACCCTGTATCCTGTACCCTGTATCCTGTACCCTGTACCCTGTACGCAAAAATTTGTTAACACGCTAACTTTCAAACCAGAAAAGTAATTCAAAATCTGACTTCGCAGGATGATTCGGGATGCCGAGGAATAGAAACCATTAGATTTTGAGCGACTTTGGTTGATAGAATGAAGTGTCATGTCTGGTGTGATGCCCATGGCCATCCATGGGAAAAATTCAATTTTTCTTCCAAAAGTGATATTTAATGTATACCTAAACACTCAAAAATATACACATTGAGGGGTTTTTGGGTACGCGAAAACCGAATATGACATTAGTTTTGCGATACAAATATATTTCGACACACTTTTCATACGAAAATTTCAAAAAAATTGAATTTTCGTATGAAAGCCATGCCTGTATGATATCGTAATGAGCTGAAAGTTTGCACAAAATATTTTTTTCACACAAAAAAATATTATTCGGAGGGTTTGAAGAGATTTCAATGCATAATAGAGATACCTCCCCAACAAAATTTTGGATTTTTTGCTCAGAAACGAAAATTTTGTATGGAAGATACCACTCAATTGTATTGAAATTTCTTCAAACTTTCAGAATGCTGGCTTTTTGTATCAGAAAAATAACATCTGCAAATTTTCACATGATTACAATATCATACAGGCATTGAAAAGTCTATCAAAAATTATTTGTATCGCAAAACTTATATCAGATTCAGTTTTCTCATGCATTCATATTTACGGTAAAAGATACGTAATAAATGCATGTTGTGGATCACAGTGCGGAAAAGTTCATCTTTCGGATGTAGGACATTTTATATATTTTGATTTTTAATAAATCATTTTACCATCGCCTAGAAGTTGCTACAGTCGTCAAGTCTGATTTTTAATGGTAGTATAATTCCTATAATTGTGCTGTGCAGAAAATATACTTACCCATATTGTGAAAGTGTGAGGGGAACATCAATAGAATTCGATGCACGACGTCGGTCATTAGCCATGTCAGCCAATTTCGCGAAATCTGTGTCAGAATCAGCCAATCGAGCAGAACGCCTGGATTCCAATAAGCGTACCTCTTCCAATTTTTTTTTAAGCTCGATGGGTTGCTGAAATGTATAACAAAATATATATAAATACATAAGAACATCGTAGAAGTAGTTCTCAAACAAATTTGCTCATATTATATAAGCTTGACTATCTAATTTTTACCAAGTTCTTTTTGCGTTGAGCAAGCGATTTTCAAAAAAAAATAAGGAACGATGCGAACCGGTTTGACATTTCTCATACAAACCGAGTTCAGAGCGGTATCTTGAATTGGTTTCATTTTTGTATTGAACGAAACGGAGCAAGCGGAACGTTCCGAAAATGGTTTGTATGGCGAACATACATTCAACTATGTATACGTGAATGACGATGCTTTGAATGTTTGAGTGTACATCGTTGATGGTATGCACACAGTACAGCTCATCGCAGACTGCGATTTGCAGTAGAAACCATGTGAAACCAAAAAAAATGGTTCGGTTTCGGTTCGTATCGCTGGTTATAAGTGAAAAGTTATTTCTTCAAATATAGGATTTTTTCCCAAAATGTGTTGTTGCAGTAACTTAATCACAGTGAAAACTTATGAATCTAATTTTGAAATTTCGCGCTGAAATGTCTTAAAACTCTTGGAGTGGTATTTTTGTGTGAAAAAAAATAGCCTGAGTGTTGGTATTCTAGCAAATAATTCCGATCGGAATTCCAAAAGAAGAAGCCATGCTTGTATGATATCGTAATGAGCTGAAACTTTGCACATTGTTGGTTTTATAGCAAATAATTCCGATCGGAATTATTTTTGGTCGGAATTATTGTTTATATAAACAAATTCATTAAGGAAAGAAACGAACAATCGAACATATTCGGGCTCCGTACATTCGGGCATCGAAAAAACGGCTGATTCGGTTTTCTTGGCTGGATAACACCCCGAAAACACGTTTTTAAGGTTCTTTAATTTTTCGACCGATATCTACTCCCTTACACACTCGATGTGTGCGGAAAAGTAAAAGAAGAGATAAGATTACTGCCTAAAATGATAAAAAAAATAAAATTAGCCATATTTGGCGCTACATTCTATGAAATAAGCGTATACTTTCCACATAGTGCGTTGCAACGGAAAACAAGTTTGCAAGAAATGCAGCGCCAACTATATGTGAATTTTATTTTTTATCGTTTTAGGCAATAAATTTTGGTTTTCTTATGGCTTCTTTCATTTTAAAAAGCTTCTTAAATAAGGTGATGCTCATTACACTGTGTGTCATTTTTAAACTTTAAAAATGCGACAGAAACGGGACCAGCAGGTTTTACATAATTTGGGTATGCTGATTTCAATGACATCACTCGTTTTTCTCTAACACGTCAGGATTTTCCACAATTTTCATGGAGAGTTTTCCGGAAAACCAAAATTGGCTGTTTATACCCTAGTAACATTTTGAATTCATGCAATACCCCAGAGGGGATACCTATCAAGCGTTGTAGTACGGTTCAAGTTAAGCCACACAATTAGTTTAAAAGAAAATTGAGTCATTTAAAAAAAAATATTTGGTTATCCCTCTGAAGTCACATTTTGAAGTAAAATTGGTATCCATTCAAACGCTCTGAAAATGAGTATTGGGCATGAAAAGACCAAATATGACGCTGTTTTTGCTATAAAATTGGTTTGAATACACTTACCGTACAAAAAGTATCCAAAAATGACCAAAAATGTCAACGTGTGGTAAGTGTATTCAAACTGAATTTTATAGCAGAAAAAGCGTCAGATTCGGTCTTTTCATGCCAAAAAACCCCCAAATACTCATTTCCAGAGCGAGAATGTTTTTTTTTGTGAAAAAATAGCCTGTGCAAAGTTTCACCTCATTACGATATCATATAGGTATAGCTCCCATACAAAATCCTCATTTTTTGTGATTTTTTCAGATGTTTGTTAAAAATGTGTCTTAAAACGTATTTTTATCGCAAAACTTATGCTAGATTCGGTTTTCTTGTGCCACAAAACCCCCCCCCAATACACATTTTTATTATATAGTTTTGTCGAAAAAAAGTTGTTTGAAATGTGTAACGATCTGTGTCGACAGAAAATCTTCAAGACGTTTGAGGCACATGTTGCCGGTACATTAGAGCACTGAAACTTGCACATATGTTTGTGAGACCAATTCTAACATATATAGAGTGTGCTGTCTCTGTAGAGGGTTAATGTAATGATGTTATGATACTCTTAAATCAAGAGTCTTGATTACAAATTCGCGTCAACTTGTAACACATCATATGCTACATGTTGTATCTTATACATCACATTTTACATGTCTTAATAAAGTTATGTAGTCACTACATTAAAAATTTCAAACGTACTAGCTACAATTATTACTTTTCCGCACACACCTAGTGTGTAAGGTAAAGTATTGGAATCGGTCGAAAAAAGAGGCTTACGTACGCAGCTTTAGCTTACGTACATAGCTGACTTTTCCGCATGGAACGCAAACTGAAATAATGGTTGCAGTAACTTAAATTACCGTGAAAACTTGTGAATATTATTTTCTTATCAAAATCACAGCGGACGGCAGTACGCGCGAGTGACGAAACCACATTAGTGTGTTGAAAAGTCGACTTGCTATATATACACGTAATTTCCAAATTCTAACCTGGAAGGCCTTTAACCGCGATTCGTGTATGGTTGGAAAGTTCTTGGGCCATAGATCAAAAAAAAATATCAAAGTTCGAAAATCGGTCCACCTGTCTTCAAAATATGGTCCTTTCAAGAAAAGGGTCAAAATTCAGTTTTATGGCCATATATGGCACTAAATGAGGTTGACACCTGAAAAATCGATATTCTGAATCTAGAGCTCAATACCTTTCCAATGATACCTCAAACGTCGAAATCGAACAAACTGTTCGAAAAAAATCAGCATTTTAAAAATAGTTTATATTTTCTTATAAAAGTCATTTGGTATATCTGTTTGTCCACCATTTTGCGTAGTTGTTTCTGATCTTTTTGAAACTTTCTGTGAAGTACATAAAAAACTAAGACTTTTTTGTTCCGGCACTTTTCGATTTGGCCGCCATGTTGGTCGTCCATTTGGCCCCCACCGTCACCGAGGCACATCCACTTGACACACCCCGGACATATGCATATCGTTAGAAAGGTCTTGACGTGAGCTATCGAATGGTACCATTTGCGGTCCAAAAAATTCAATGTGGGGTGGCCAAATTGGCCAAAAACCAAAAAGTTACCGTTCGGCCGGACACATAACGGCAAAAACCGGCCATTGGTCCATTGAAAATTTCACCGAATTTAGGCCCAAGTCTAAACTTAAAAACGCCGCATAGCTTATATCCCAGAAAATTCTTGTTTTCAAGATATGGCCTTCAATAGTGCAAAAATGGCCAAAAATGGAAAGGTCTTAAAGTCATTGGAAAGGTCTTAAAGTAATCTATCGAATGGTGCCAATTGCGACCTAAAATTCCCAAGTTCAGGTGGTCAAATCGGCCAAAAATCAAAATTTGACCGTCTGGCCGGACACATAAGACATAACGGATATTTTCTAGAAAAAGACTCCATAGTTTCTTTTGAGAATTTCATCGATTTATGCCCCAAGTCAAAGATAAAAAAGTGGATACCATACACCACTGAAAATTGGCCGTCCCCATTATGAGCCATAATTTATGACATTTGGACCATAACCTAAAAGTCCATATTTTAACTGTATTTCAAAATTATTAAAATTCAGGTGTTTTGAATCTTTAATCTGGAAAATTACTCTCAAAAAATTAATGATATTAAATTGAAAACCTCTGATGAGGTGAATATCGAGTGACGAAACCAAAATGTGAAACACAAAATTTCTGATATCAATTTTGTGACGAAAATAAATGATAGATAATTTTTCTGTGTACAGTGAAAAAAAAAACTTAATATACATTTGTATATTCGGAACGTTGCATTGCGTCATCAGTCCATACTGACAGTAAAAAGAAAGGAATTTCTGCAAAGTTTTGAATGTTCAAATGTATATTAAGTTTTTTTTTTTCACTGTACACAGAAAAATTATCTATCATTTATTTAAATTGATATCAGAAATTTTGTGTTTCACATTTTGGTTTCGTCACTCGCTCTTCACCTCGTCAGAGGTTTTTAGTTTAATAAATAATCACACCAAGTTTAAAGAAATTTCAATAAAAAATAAAATGTCTTACATCCGTACATGAACTTTTCCACATGGCTTTCATACAAAAATCCAAATCTTTTGAAATTTTTGTATGAAAAGTGTGTTGAAATATATTTGTTTCGCAAAACTAACGTCATATTCGGTTTTATCATACCCAAAAAAACCCCAATACATATTTTTGAGTGTTTAAGAATACATTAAATACGACTTTTGGAAAAAAATTGAATTTTTCCCATGGATGCCCATGGGCATCACACCAGACATGACACTTCACTGTATCAACCAAAGTCGCTCAAAATCTAATGGTTTCTATTCCTCCTTTGAAAGTTATCGTGTAAACAAATTTTTGCGTACAGTGTACAGGGTAGCTTTTTGTGAAAAAAATAACATCTACTAATTTTCACATGATTACGATATCATACAGGCATTAAAAAGTCTATCAAAAAATATTTGTATCGCAAAATTTATATCAGATTCAGTTTTCTCATGAATTCATATTTACGGTAAAAGATACGTAATAAATGCATGTTGTGGATCACAGTGCGGAAAAGTTCATCTTACGGATGTAAGACATTTTATTTTTTATTTAAATTTATTAACATTTGTATTTAATTTAACCGCTCACGTAAGTTTATTATTACAACTTTGATTATAGGTTTTTCCATTTTGAATTTGATTTCTTTAATTAAACCTTTAAATTATAATAAATATCATCCCATCAATTTAGATACTCAACACAAACTAAATTTTAATTTTTTTTAGATGATATATGTAAAAACCCAACGATTCGCGTTCTGATTTTTTTTTCATAGTTTAAAAGATTAATTGATTTCTACGTTAGAAATTATTCTGCGATTTGTTCAAAATAAGTATTTTTTCTATAGATATAAACCAGATTGAAACAATTT